ATGAAAGGACTGCCCAGTGGTGAATCCCTGGATCAGATCAAAGATGAACTGGCAAAATTACTTGGAGTTGTGCCACTCCAAGTAATCAAAATGAAAATGAAATCCCGTCCTGGCGATTCGCGCAACGGGATTTCTCATGATATTTATTTAGTTCACTTCAAGTCTAGTGAACTAAACAACCTTAAGGCCTTAGAAAAAGCTAGCCTTATGCTCCATGTCCGAGTGAAGTGGGAACATTTCAGGAAGACTGGAGGAAATTTCCAAAACCTCACTCAGTGCCGTAAAAGCCAGGGTTGGGGCCACGGAACTAAAAATTGCTACATGCCAGCTAAATGCATGAATTGTGGTGATTCCTCTCACGCAAAGGACGACTGTCCTGTGAAGGAAGATCCTAAGAAATTTAAATGTTCAAATTGTGGTGAAAACCACAAATCCAATTTTTGGGAATGTAAGACTCGCAAAGCGATCCTACAATCTCGTTCTAAGCGACAGGTAGGAAACGCTCAACGTTTCCGAACAGGTACAAATTCCTCTGCTGTTAACAACGGTTAGCGAGGAACAAATTCTACATTCGTACCCGTAAATGTTTCACCTGTACCTACTCCCCTCGCTGCTTACAATGTTCAGAGAGTTAATGGAGCTACCTATGCTGCTATTGCAACGGGTAGAAATCAAAATACTAACCAACGTAATTCTAACGGAAATTATGACAATTTTGACTTAGGAAGCATTACTGCCCCTAAAATGGAATTTTTACAGAAATCATTAATTGACATGATTTCTGATATGCTTATATCTAACTCCATGTTTGATGCTATTCAAACTGGAGTAAAATTTGCAAATAATATTGTCATGACTTTAAAATTCAGTAATGGATTTTAAAGCATTAAATATTGTAAATTGGAATGCTCGATCTCTTAAAGATAATGAAGACGAGCTATTTAACTTTTTGAGAGTTCATAACGTGCATATTGCCGTTATAACTGAAACGTTCCTTAAACCTGACCATAAGGTTAAGAAGGACGCAAATTACTTGATTTATAGAAATGATCGTCTTGATGGACCCTGTGGTGGCGTTGCCATCATTATTCATAGACGAATCAAACATAAAATTCTTTCTTCATTTGAAACCAAAGTTTTAGAAACTTTGGGAGTTTCTGTTGAAACAAAATTTGGACAACTTACGTTTATAGCTGCCTATTTGCCATTCCAATGCGTAGGCCAGAATAAAAATTTTCTAAAGGGTGACCTCCAGAAACTTACCCGTCATATGTCTAAATTCTTCATTATTGGTGATTTTATTGCAAAACACCGCTCATGGAATAATGCTCAAAGCAATTCCAATGGTAATATTCTGTTTGATGATTGTTCTGCAGGTTATTATACTATTCAATATCCAAACAGCCCAACATGCTTTTCTTCTGCAAGAAATCCCTCCACTATTGATTTGGTCTTAACTGATTCATGTCAACTTTGTAGCCAATTGGTTACCCATGCTGACTTCGGTTCTGATCACCTTCCAGTAACTTTTGAAATATCCCAAGAAATAATTTGTAATCCCAACAGCTCTACTTTCAATTACCATAGAGCTGATTGGGAGCAGTATCGAACATTTATGGAATATAACTTCGATCCAAACATTCCTTTGCAAACCAAAGATGAAATTAATTATGCTCTTGAATCTCTGACTACTTCTATAGTTGGAGCAATAGCTGCCTCAGTACCAAAATGCGAGGTTAAATTCGATTCAATTATAATAGACGACGATCTTCAGCTCTTGATCCGTCTTAAAAATGCCCGTAGGAGACAATATCAAAGAACACGCGATCCTGCCATGAAGGTTATCTGGCGGGATTTGCAAAAACAAATTAAAAAGCTATTCTCTGCCCTGAGGAACAAAACTTTTGAAAATAATATTTCTAAATTAGACCCGAGTTCCAAACCCTTTTGGAAACTCACAAAAATTTTGAAAAAACCTCAAAAGCCTATTCCAGCGCTTAAAGAAGGTGGTAAAATTTTGATCACATATTTGGAAAAAGCTCAGAAACTTGCTAAGCAATTCGAGAGTTCCCATAATTTCAGTTTGGGTCTTACTAGTCCTATTGAGAATCAGGTTGCTCGGGATTTTCTGAATATTTTCTCTCGGAAAAATATTTTTGATGATTCCTGGGGGACTGATTTGGACGAAGTAAGGTCTATAACTAAAAAGTTTCAAAGTATGAAAGCTCCAGGTGATGATGGAATTTTCTATATCCTCATCAAAAAACTCCCAGAGAGTACCTTGTCTTTCTTGGTAAAATTATTTAACAGATGTTTCCATTTGGCATACTTTCCTGATAAATGGAAAAATGCAAAAGTTGTTTCAATTTTGAAGCCGGATAAAAATCCAGCTGAAGCTTCTAGCTACCGTCCAATAAGTTTGCTTTCTTCAATAAGTAAACTTTTTGAAAAGATAATTTTAAATAGAATGATGCTTCACATCAATACGAACTCAATTTTTGCAGATGAGCAGTTTGGATTTCGCCATGGGCATTCAACTACTTATCAACTCTTAAGAGTTACCAATTTGATTCGTTCAAACAAATCGGAAGGCCACTCAACTGGAGTTGCTCTTCTAGACATAGAAAAAGCATTCGACAATGTTTGGCATGAAGGTTTGATTGCCAAATTGAAAAAGTTTAATTTTCCTTTTTATATTATGAAATTAGTTCAAAATTATTTAACTGACAGAACTCTGCAGGTAAATTATCAAAATTCCAAATCTAATCGACTACCTGTTAGAGCAGGAGTTCCTCAGGGTAGCATTCTTGGGCCTATATTGTATAACATTTTCACTTCGGACCTCCCTGATTTGCCTCAGGGTTGCCACAAATCTTTGTTCGCTGATGACACAGGCATTTCCGCTAAAGGAAGAAGTCTTCGTGTTATTTGCAGCAGACTGCAGAAAAGTTTAGATATTTTCTCTTCTTATTTACAAAAATGGAAGATTTCTCCCAACGCTTCCAAAACTCAACTTATAATATTTCTACATAAGCCCAGAGCTTCCTTTTTGAAACCTAGTAGTAGTCACATAGTCACTATGAACGGAGTTCCAATTTTTTGGTCAAACCAAGTGAAATATCTTGGATTAATACTTGACCAAAAATTAACTTTTAAAGATCACATTGAGGGCATTCAAGCTAAATGTAACAAATATATTAAATGTTTGTATCCTCTTATAAACAGGAAATCCAAACTTTGCCTGACGAATAAACTTCTAATATTTAAACAAGTTTTTAGACCTGCCATGCTTTACGCTGTGCCAATATGGTCTTGTTGTTGCACTACCAGGAAAAAAGCACTTCAAAGGATTCAGAACAAAGTTCTGAAAATGATTTTGAAGTTGCCTCCTTGGTACAATACTACTGAAGTACATAGAATTTCGAATTTTGAGACTTTAGAACAAATGTCCAACAAAATAATTAATAATTTCAGGCAAAAATCGTTGCAATCCTCAATTGCAACGATTAATTCCCTTTATACTTAGATAAGATTGCGTTTTAGTTTTTAGTTTTAAGATATCAATTGTTATACTGACATGCAGGTTAAAAAACCTGTTTAAAATACTGAATTGCCAAGACATGAACAATGTAAAAACACTTAGATATATATTATAACAATTAAGGCTGGTACGTTACTGCAGTAACTGGAGCATCTAGGTTAAAATGAAATGTAATTTATTTTGAATTTGAAACAAATAAAGAAAAAAAGAAAAAACCTTGATAAAACTTGTTATATTACTTGGAAAGGGCAGCCTGGCAGGTCGCAACCCAGACATTGAGAAACTTTGCATTATAGGATTATTTACATCATATAAAGTACCATCTAGAATAAATTCACATTTAACATAAGATGGGGTTGAATTACATTTGATACAATCCGAAAACTGGCAAACAAATTGTAATCAAAATAAAATGATCCTCTAAACGAATCATGCCCTATTTTGGATCCCTTGTTTATTTGACAGCTGTTCCTTTACATTAATATGTATTTTCTCCTAAGTTTCAATAGTATTTGAACAATGTTATCCTTGAATCCAATATAGATGAGTTGTAATTGGTCTTGTTCGATAGAATTTACTGGTAAACAACTTAAATGTTAATGTATGATTGAATTTATTCGTAAGTGGTTAGGCAAATTAGAACAAAAATTCGAAAGTCCTGTCTTTTTATCAGCATATCCAAATAATGCGGATTATGAATATCTGACGGATGCTATATCTGGACATCCGAATAACGCACGTAGACAACTACTTTGCTATTCAAGCACTTATTTTTCATCAAAATGCTAGATACTCATAATCCATACATTCATTATAGTCTGATTGTTTTCCCCATGATCCAAGATAACTCCACTACACGGTTCCAATTTGCGTACGTACTAGCCTGCAAAAAAAAAACATCCATTTTAATGCAGTACTTTAAGTGTAGCAATACGTGCAACCCAGAGCAAAAAATTAGCCATTGCCAAAAAGTTCGCCATTCGCGCACTCTCGCATGTACTGCCGGTTAGCTTCGTTTGCGGGGGATGCCCATCATCATCATCACCGGCCGCCTCCGCGCGCCTCCATCATCATCATCACCATCATCATCATCACCATCGTCATCATCATTAGCACAACAGCAGCGCAAAGCCCCCAAAAAAGGGAGCAAGCAATAAAGTTGCTTAGTGGCGAGCAGATGCGCGAAGAACTGCTGCAACCCGAACGAGAGCGGGCCACTAGTAGTGTTTGAAGATTCGCCGCCGCCGCTGCGCTGCTGTTGCTGCCAACGACGCCGCCGCCGACCACGCCGTCGCACACCACACCACGACCACCGTCGGATATGGAGCGAAACTTCAGCTAAGGAAAAACCCCAACGTGGTACATCCACATGTAGTTTTGCCTCGGATGGTCTGTTTTGGATTCTCCTGCTGGAAGAGGTTATAGTGAGAGTGTGTGTCGTTTCCTGAGAGCGCAGCCGGTGCGCCGAATGAAAATAAGCCGCAGTCAGATAAAATCCGAAAGATAATTAGTATTTAGTTCGGGAAGTGTGCTTGAGCCGGCCAAATGTACTACCGCGGTATTGCTCGGAAACGGTTTGCAGTGTGCAGTTAGTGGTGGTGATCTTGCTGCGCTCAGAACTTGGAGTGCGTGAAAGTTTTTCCGCCCCGTTTCTAGGTCAAGTGAAATCCTCCCGTGCCGGAGACTGCGCCCAGGTGGTCCCTTCTGCAAATGGTGGTGGTCCATCGCCGGTGCCGCTGCTGTTTGGTGAGACCCTCGGCTGTCAATTGGCTGCGGGCCCGGGGGACCGGTGGAAACTCCCCCGGTTCGGTTTCACACGCAAGTGTCCAGGTCAACCCTTTTCGAAAGCTATCCGAGCGGCGAGCAGCAGAAATTAATGTCTTCCTTTTCACCGAAAATGACTTCCAAAGTGAATAATTACTCATTGACACAGAGCGATTGGTGCTGGTGGGCTGCAATCATAATTAAGGCCAACAGCAGTAACAACAACTACAACGACGACGACGGCGGCCAAGTCCGGGAACAGCTTCCCCACCGCGGGCCCAACGGGAACGACGCAGACGGGGAAAGATAGTCCTGAACACGGGAAAGCAGCCTCGCCATCAGAAGCAGTGCGTGTGATATTAGCCCGAGGGTACGAATTACGCGAAAATAAAACAGTTTCAGCTCCTCGTGGTTGGTCGTTTTTGGGGCCCCGTCTCGTAATTGATGACTCGAACAGAGTGACGCTTTTGAACAACGAAACGAACCAACATACAAACAAACAAAAAAAAAAGTTCTCCAAAAAACAGTTCCTCGATTGGGGCACGACTTAATTAAAATTCAATAAAATTAATAAGAGAAAAAAAAACGGTGCAGTGAAAATCTCAGGTGCACGAGTGAACTCAACTCCGACGCGTCGTCGTGAGGAAGCAGTAAGTGGTGACGGGAGGAACTCTCGATATAATCGCTTTTAACGGGCTGTGATATTTTGTTGCGATCGCCGTGGGTTAGTTAATAAGGGAAGTTCAGCTGCCGGGGGTAATTGGAGGAAGAAGAGACGGGATCTCCACCAAGTGACATACAGCAACTGCAGCATCGAGAAGCGGAACTCTGGTGCCCTAGCAAGTAGCAACATGCGTTTTGTGCTGATTGCAATTTATTTGATATTAATTATGCCCATCACTGGATCATGGTGGTAAGTAATTCCGGGCGCCGTAAGTGCAGCCTTTTGAGTGGTGAAGGTTAATTTATTGGCTTAGGAAAGTTTTCATTCTACTGCAGGTTGTTCGCTACAAAGTATGTGATAAATTGATTATTATTTGCTCTTCATATGATCGTCCTTCCTTTCAAGCGGAAATGTTACAAGGAATGGTTTTGTGATTTATTGCTTTGGTTTGAGATGTATTGAAGAGGGATTGATTCGCATAAAAAGAATTCAAGGTAAGACTAAGGCTATGGAACTCGGGTTCAATGCATTCCGATCATTACAGCAATTTATAATTTCGAGTCTAAATATTCGTGCCCAAACCTTAATCGAAATTTTGGGAAACCTTCCATTGGGTCGGCTATTTAATGTTTTCATCTTGTTGGAAAGGGTTTTAGATTCCCTTTTCTATGCTTTCATTGGCCATGTCACATGATGACGGATAAATGATTGATTTAGTTTTCGTTGGTAGACAAGCATTGGCGTAAACATGGTGAGAACGGGGGAGCTGACCTAAAGTTGGCCCACCCCAGAAAATTAAAAAAAAAATACCGGAACAATGATACCATGTAATGTATTGCATGGAGGAATTGTGATATTTTTTTAGAGTATCTAAAATAAACTGTTCTGTAACTTTGAATTTCTTAATTATTTGCTTATTCACAGCTGATGATTGGTTATCACCTTTTTTATGTAACACGTAAACTTCTCATATAAAAGTTGAATCTCTTCATTTGTTTTGAAGATATATCTGAATTTTTTAAAAATATTTTAAATTCTGTGAAGAAGTGGTTCTGATCTTTAGAATAATACTGAATAAACCTTTTCATTTTTCACGACTTTGAAAAATATCCAGAGAACTTTATTGAAATCATATTGGAAATTCATGGATGTCAATTAAGATCTATTCAATTTATACGAAGGCTTCTGTACTTCTAAAAAAGTCTCTTTAATTCAATTCCATAATCTCAAATAAAGCTTTCTGAACTTCTTCCCAACCCTGAGCCTCTATGAAGTTCCCCACATTTGTGAAAAGTTCTGCGATTTGCTGGAAACTTGCGTCCAGTTCATCGAAGTAGTACCTATCATTTGCAAGAAATCCAATCCTTATTGATATGCCTTACATGTAAAGAAACGGAATGTTATACCGGTTATGGTTTCTATTTTGAGAACAAATTGAATGATGCCGTATATTATGCTAGCTCTCAAACATTTCACGCTCTGGTCTAGGTGATGGCCGTTCCTCGTTAATTTGGTGGTGAAAATTATAATATTGACAGTGTCACAATCCACACTATTCGCATCTTTCTTTAAGGAATGTGTTAATCTAAAAGTGATCAATATTTTTTCGTATTTGGAACCATCGACGCTCTTCTTCTAAACCATCGATTTTCAAACTGGGATTCGCGAAGCCCCACTAAACGAAAAGCACATACAAAGAAAGAGTGAGATTGATCGGTGGGCAACGTTGAGAATGAAAATCTGCTTAATAAAGACAACCAACCAACCAACCAGCCAACGTAGAGAATCGATGTTCTTAACGATTATCAAGGCTGGATAAGATCTAAAAGGCATATTCCCTTTTTGTTACGCTGGAACAGTTTAATCACTACTTCTATGAGCCCTAGGTTTTCACCCTTGCTATCAGAAACGGTTGTTGACAATTAATTAATGGTATGTTAAATGGACTGTGTAAAAATCGATTACAGTGCTTTCCCGATTTTATCAACTCCCGATTTTGTCTGCCCCCGATTTTGTCAGCTTTTTTTCCCGATTTTGTCAGTCTGCAGTTTCACTAAATTTTTAGGTTTTTAAACATAAATTCTCAAACTTTTTGCTCAGAACGATTTTTATTCTTTCCCGGCACTGAAATTTGAATGCTAGGGGCAGGCATGGAAAATCATTTGCATTCATTTCATACATTCATTTACATTCATTTGCCTCTAACTTTTTTCATCAACATCAATCTGCGAAATGATGTATAGAGCTTTTGTAGGTTTTATCATAAGCTACAAGTTTTGCTCATTATTCAAATCTGTATCTCTTATGCATCACGAACTAGAGCGGGCAGAACTTGTTACTAATTTTCAGTGAATGTAAAATACATTCACTGAAAAACAGTAGTGGCTTCTGTTCGCTCTGCTTCGTCATGAATAAGAGATACGGATTTAAGTTTTTAACAAAAGTTTGTAGCTAATAACAAAACCTACAAAAGCTCCGTACATCATTTTGCGTAATGCTGTTGAAGAAAAAAGTTAGAGGCAAATGAATGTAAATGAATGCACGAAATGAATACAAATGATTTTCCATGCCTGGCTAGGGGAAGTGGGGGTACAATGGGCATACGGGGTATATTGAACAATTACACTAGTTAACAGCACATTTGAACTTCGTACGCTGATGGTCATTTCCAATGTAAAATCGTGTGCTGAATCCAAAAATGTTGTTAAAAAAATCTCAATAAGATTGTTTTCGAGATATAGCTAAATAATGAAATTTTACTTTATAAAAATGTGTTTACTAAAATACGAATATCTCCGGTTGTAATGAAGTTATATTAATTATTTAAACGTCAAACTGAAGGTGATAAAATGTGCTTTGGATTATTTGGAAACTTTTTTTCAGTGAGATTAGTGGTACAACCACTACAAACATTTTTAATTACACTGCTTTAAATATTATCAGAAATTAATTTTTTCTTGGAAAATTTCAAAATAATAAAGTATAATAAAGAAACTATTAATTATCAACAATGTCACAAATCTCTCTAACACTGAACATTTGATTGAAAGAAAATTTTCTAACCTTTAATATGGCGTTAAAATAATTGAAATAGTCTCATTACAACCGGAGATATTTGAATTTTAGTTAACACACTTTTTTAAAGTGAATCTTCTTTTTTTTAGCTGTATCTCGAAACTATCCTAGCGAGTATTTTTTTTTTGACTAAATTTTTCGAATGGAAGAATCACTGGTCAAAGATTCAAGTTCATTTTTTTTTTTACTTTTATTTGTAAACTAGTGTTATCGTTGTTAAGTGCTTACCGAAAATTCTTTTTGATTCTATATTTGCTGGTTTCTCCTGGATTTGCTGGTTTGATGAATTTGGAATTATGAGACCAATTTTGCTCCGGATCTTTTGGCTTTCGGCACCTGCTGATCATCCATCACAAGTTTCAAAATATCTTCATCTGTATGAGCTTAACTAGCATATCGTTCTACCACATTGTGGACGTTCATGAAAAAAAAAATCCTCCAATCAATAGTCCATTTTTTATCCATGATTCCTGAACCACATCGTCGTGTAATTCTGCCCAGACTTCTTGTACCCAAAAATATACTTCTTTTAACGAGATTTGCTTCAAACATTCATCGGTGTTATTATCCTTGTCTCGGGCCATCACATAGAGCAAGAGATTTAGTTTAATATTTTGGATCGCATTTTGATCCATCGGCTGAATGAAAGCGGTTACGTTGGCAGACAGAAACTGCACTGTGATCAACCCATCATCGCTTTTGAATTCATCGTTGGGCTGAACAGTTATATAAGAAAGAAAAATACCCTTGGATGGCATCGGTTGTTCGGCAGCAAATCGTCGAACTCCTGCTACCGTTAACTTCTTTAAAAATGAACACCATAGTCAAATTTACAATTCTTTGCTACACCGACAACCATTTTAAAGCGTCTAGCATCAAAGTTGAGGAAGTGAATCTATTACATCTCAAAATCAAACGCATAAGCGCTGTAATCTCGATATTTGTGCTGCATTGGCCAAAAATAAAATGGAAGGGTAAAAGTCTCGATGAGGAGAGATGATTGAGTCGTATAGCTGTATTTTACTGGCAATAGTTAAATCGTTTTTCAATCGGCAAAATTTTCATGATGACATTTTCAATGTGAGAGTTGAACTTTAGTTTGTCATCAATAATCACGCCAAGATATTCATTGTCCCGACTGCGATCAATTGTTTCATCTTCAATTACAACAGAGACGTTATCATTTACTCGATTCCGCAAAATTATAGTTTAACTTGTATTCAATTTCAACTGCTTACACTTCAACCATCTACTTTGAGATCGCAAATCTTCAATCATTTGTGAAACGGGAACTTCTAAATCCTTAGCTGCAATGAAAAACACAGTATCATCTGCAAAAAGATTAATGTCGCAAAATTGTAAAACACGTCGCAAGTCGTTAATATACATAATAAATAAAAGGGGCCCTAATACACTTCTCTGGGGCACACCTACGTTATTTCTCACGGGACTGGAAATATAATCATTACAAACAGTCCGTTAACTTATGTCAGATAATTAGCTTTCAATCCATTTACATGCAGTACTCATAATTCCAAAGCGCTTGATTGTACTTAACAATAAGGGCCTAGAAATTGTTTCAAAAGCCCGTTTCAGATAAAAAAAAACAGTAAAAGTCGTATCTTTACGCTCCAGCAAAACGAGCGAACGTTCAATGAAAATTAATTCTTAAGGTTCAATTTACTTTGATGCATTTTTTTAAAATTCAAATGCAGTTTTTTCGACGCATTATTTTAGATTGCAAAAAGCTCGCGTCATTTTGTGTAAAATATCAAAAGGAATCGAATAGTGCGAGCTTTTTGCAATCTGAAATAATGCGTCGGAAAAAACTGCTTTTGAAATTTTCCAAAAAGCATCAAAGTAAATTGAACCTTAAGCAACAAGAATCTATGGTAGTCCTGAAAAGATCCGTTTTTTCGTGATGGTTGAGTAATGCTGAGCTATTAGGGTATTCAACACTGGCGAGATGTATGTTGTTTCTAACGAAGGTGACGTGCTTGGCTTGACGGCCCACAGTGGCTCACGTCGAGCAACTGAATCCAATCAGTAGCGGTGCGGCTTCTTCCTCCTTCTTCGGTGAATCGGGGGCTCTTAAGGGCAGCGTTGATAACTAGCTGCTTGCGGGGAGCCTATCGTTGTGTACTGGAGAAAAATGTATAACGCCACGCACCGAA